GTTTTGTTTTCTAGGGGAGGGGGTGTAATGGTTTAGTTTTCGGGGGGAGGGGAGTGTAGAGCTTTTTAATTATTTTTTGCGGGGGGAGGGGGGGATTGAGAAAAACTTATCTTGATTGTTATCCTCTCCTCTCCCACAGAAATGCTATCCCTTAAGTTTGCTGGCCTATTTTTTTAATACGTGTGTCTCTTCTCTATCTACCTCCTAACTCACTAGGCAATTGTATAGGTATAACACTATAACACTATAGTCAAGTTGATCTCCATTTTTCCATCTTTCTCTTTTTCCTACTTTTTCTCTATGTTTGTCTACCTTTTCCTCATTACCCTTCTTCTTGTCTTCTTTCCTCATTTTCCACCAAGGTTTTGGTCATAAGCATGCATATTTGTACACACCTTAAACAAATTTATATTCTTTTAGATTCGTAAATATAATATTACAAAATGCAGGAATACCGCACTGTCACACCAAAGAACTTCTGTGAACAATTTAACGTGACTTGAAATTAATCGTCCTTACCACAGATAGCACCAACGAGTCTAAAACAATTTCTTCTTATCTCCCGGAACCAGGGCCGCATTTATTCATTTACATCGTCCCAAGCCTCTCTATTTATACTTCTGATACAATGTGTTTTCATTTCTCCTTTCTGTTACCCATAATGTAAAGCAGCATGGCGGAGTAAAATAACTGTATGCATGTGCTATCCGATACCTCTTTGCGGAAAGATCATAGGCTAGATATGGCTAGGAAAAAAATTACGTTAAAAGACTTGAAAAATACAACTGAAAATCTGTAAATGAAACCGAAGAACATGCAAACATACGTTGGTCTGGTTTATTGCCTAAGTCAGATGAGGTGACGTACTGGACAGTGGTCAAGGAGATTCATGACATTAGTACCTGTGTTTAACATAAACAGATGGACACCATATTGGGAGACAGAAAGAGGGAAAGACAAAAAAATGGGTGACATTTGGCTTCAATAACTAAGGCAGAAGGGATTTGGGGG